TTATATATATATATATATATATATGTATATATATATATATATATACATATATATATATAATATATATATATATATATATATTATATATATGTTATATATATAATATATTATATATATATATGTGTGTGCATATATATGTGTGTATATATTTGTACATACACACACACACACACACACACACACACCACACACACACACACACACACACACACACACACACACACACACACACACACACACATATACACACACACACACACACACACACACACACACACACACACACACACACACACACACACACACACACACACACACACACACACACACACACACGGAGTTCATGCATATTATGTTTAGGGACGAAGACCCGCAAAAATGCACATGAAAACATTTACTTATCAAAGTGCATTCAAATTGAACTCCCTGAATTTTGTTGGACATATTAATGGGTATAAACTCTGCGGATTTATGTAACCTCGTTTCACTAGCATAAAGGCAAAGGTAGATCAACTTAGGTAATATACGTTTGCATGCTGTATGAAATATTCCCATTTTACCATGTATAATTACTTTTAATCACAGAATACTATACTCTGTCGAATGTATGTGAATATATGTAATACTCTGTAATCACGATTGCCCACGCCTGAGCAGATGGGTGGTAAATAAACTTAACTTTATAAAAGGGTTGAGACAATCGGCCGGTTTGTTAAAATTGTGCGAGGCCCGACCCAATGAATATTCGTAAATAGACATCATATATACCCAGCAATAAATGGATATCTTTCTATCTATCGGATATCTATACTTTTATCTATCTATTTATACGGTAGATATATATGTTTACACTGATAAATATGCGTTTATTCCTGTGTATGTGCACAAGCGCTAAGCCACCAAAGAAGTCAATTAGTAAGCCTCCTTGTTCTCAGCTGATTTCTCTTTTCCATGGGTTTTCGGGTAAATCTTATTTTCTTCGAATGCTATTGATATCGATGTTGTAATTATTGTAGTTAACATTATGACTGTTATAACGTTTTCAACAATACAATCAGCAACAAAGAACAAACCAGGATCTTTTCGAAAATCAAGGAAAAAGCTAAACAGGTGAAACAGGTAGAGTGCCTAATTGGTGGAGCCATCTAGTTGCGGAGAAAATAAACAAAAAACGCAGTGGACTTGGCATGTATTCTTGTCATTCCTTCATACTGGGGTTAAAATATATGTAGTAAGAGGATTGCCATAGGATATTCATATTTATTTATTTTCAAATCCGTTTTATTTGATTTTATAGAGGCTGATGTTCCAAATATCATCGTAATTATGAGCATTGTAGGAATCATGGTTGTCATTATTTTCAGTATCATTGCTATTGTCTTTCTTTTCCATCATATTTCTGATGGTAACTGTTACTATTTACATAATTGTTAGTACATTAGTATTACCATTATTACCAGTGTTGTTACCATATTAAAGCTATTTTCATTGCCATTTCTCAGAGAAATTTATGATTATTACTTCAACTCCAATTAAAATAATAAAATACGACAATTTTTAAAGGATAAATGATACAAAAAGTGTATTTAACATTATTTACTTATCAGTCAGGGAAAATTTAATAAATATACAGTGACATTTCATACGTTACAACACATACGAAAAGGGTTAAAGATACATAAATACAAACTATGCTATACAAAAGAAACAATTAAAGAAAACAAAAAAAATTAATGTTGAGGTTTGTTTTTTGTGGTAATACATTGAGAGGACTTGTAACCTATGTAGTATTTATCATTATATTTATTTTGAATAACTGTCATAACTAAAAAAAAAAAAAAAAATGAAAAAATAATAACCAGTAGATTGCCACCAAAAATGGCATCTTGTTATTTATTTTTTGTATTCTCATTTTTAATAGATATTTTTGGTGACACTCGTGAAAGGAAAACAGATTGACTGAGGAGTGGATAATTAGCTGACCATTCTTTGGCATCACTGCTTGAGAGATGCCAAGAAAATATATTCATATATATCTCTATATTTCTTTTGACGAATATATAACTAGTTTTTGTAACAAGAGGAAACGACCCCCTCCTTTAGAAACAAAGAAACAAAAAAAAATTCAGACTGGGGTCTCTCATTCATTTATTCACCTTTTTTCAATTATCACATTTTTTTTATTAACTAGAAAATAATCGCCATATGTTGCCCCGACAGAGCAACTCCCCTGATTGTTCCGAATGCACGCTGATACAATCACAATCGGTAATCTTTTGTATACAAATGACACGACTTTGATAGTCCACTCATCATCATCATCACCAAAGATTGTTCACAAAGGGACTAGTTGTTCACAATGCCGAGGCTAGTTCAGCTATTCCAACAGGTGAACACGTGTTGAACTAAGCTCTCGCCAAAGACACCGTCCGAACACATAACTGCAGATGCGCCATTTTTTTTCTCTCTTTTGGAAATCATCTGTAACTAAAATAGACTATGTAATAAGATAAAATTCATATCTGTCAGTCTATCTAAAGTTTGACATAGATGTGACGTCAATGACATCCTCACTAAAGTCTATCATTATATCTAAAAAATGTCAACTGCTTATTTTTTTCCACATTCAAATGGCATCTTCTTGAGCACTTCTTTAGTTTCTCGAAACGAAGATCAAAAAAAGTTCTGAAGTATTAGGATGAACTTTCATAAGTCACATGACACGCTCGGTACTGAATTCAACCAAATGTAATCAAATTACTTTATCATAACACCGATAAAGAGCGTGGCAGAATAGTTAAAATATTTCCTTTCTATTACATTCTCTGAACAAAAATACTTTCAGCTGTAAAAGTAAAAGGATATTGCATAAACTTGGATCGAATTCCGTGTCAAACACTTCAGATCTTTATTTTCTCTTCAAATATTCCCTCGAAAAGTATTCCTTTGTAATCTTAAACGAGATATATTTATTGCGTTATGATTATCCAAAAAATGCATTTAAAACCCTTTACATAATGGGGTACAAACACAACAAAAAAAAAAATTATGGATATTTCCATTTTTCCACATCAGACACTCCCATCTTTTTTCCATTCCTCCTTTTCTTTCTCAAATGAAAACGCAATAATTTCATGACTATTAATATCGGTCTCATTCTTCTTTTTCGGTGAGGCTGACTTCACGATAAAACCACTTGCCCAATCACTCCGCACTTTCCCCTTGGTTTTAACACTGAATTTTCCTTGCTTTACATTCTTTCACTACAAAGAACATAACCTAGCAAAATATACAGGAGACCCAAGGTTGAAACAACACAGTTAAGAGGTAACGAGGATCTACAAAGATATGACTTGAGTTATAAAAAGATACATCTTTGGTATATCTTTGGTAAGGCTTAATGAGAGATATGTTAGGCTATCACAGAGCCAATATAAGGCTGAGTTTCACAAGAGAAATTCCTATTTAAACGTGTTTCATTAACCCTAGAGTAGAAGTTGTTTGAAAGCATCATTTTTATATGTATAAATAATATATCGAGATATATTTTTAGCATAAAACAATATAATTTTAATCCCTTTTGATGTCTTGCAGTAATATACCAATATCTTCACGGAAAAGATACTGACATATACAACATTGCATCGCCACACAATGCATAAAATGGCATGTCAAAACTCAATATAACACCAGAATAAAACAGTTGTTTTGATAAGTGTGACGTAGATTTTCAAAACCCAGATTCACTAAGGATAAAGAGGGGGCAACCTTAACCGCTGCCCTGTTGCATAGGCCTTACAGTCACAAACAATACCGAGTTTAAAGCCAATAACAAACTCTTAAATAGGAATAACCAGGAAAGACTGGGGGAGAAATCAATTAGAAATTACAGCGTTTGATACTATATACTGATGTACTTTCTTCAGATCTGACTGGTGTGATGAAGTGTAAGTAGTGTTAGGAGGTGATATGGATGGATTTCATGGCACAGACACGCCAGGACTAGGTTGCTGGTATGTGTCCGCTTGACTGGTGGGTTTTGGATGAAGCGAGTGTGTGTATATGTGTGAGAGAAGAGTGGGGGAAAGAGGAGTAGAGAGCCAGGAAGAGAAAGCGGAAGAGATTGGGAGAGAGGAAAAAAAGGAAAGAGAAAGGAGAAAGTGAGAAAAAACGAGACGTGAAAATGATATACATATCTATCACTTGAGGGACCACTAGTTTTGATACTGTGTTAATGTATGTTGAATGGATCTTGTAGAAGTTGAAGTGGCAAGTGAAAAGGGTATTTTTATATGAGAAGATCTATTTATTCAGCAGAGAAGATCCTGAAGAGGAGGGCACGGGCCACACCTAGATTGACTGCAACTATAGTACTATACACAGCATAGGGCACATTGGATGACTTTGCTCGAGGGCAAAATCTCTTGAAGGAGGTCAACACTGTACTAGTAAATAATGTGTTTTTTCTCATACTATAACCACTTATTACTAAATACAGTCCTCAGTCACTTTACATTCATAAAATAGGATGATTCATCTGTAAACACCATTGTTTATAAAATAATATCATATATATATCTATATATATATCTGATTTCTCCACCCAAAAGGCTGCAACATGTAACACGTTGCAAAACACCTCGGATGCTCTAAACCAAGTTACACAGGTATTTGTTCCACTCCCGGCGACCAGCAAACCTGCCACGGTCTTCAACGGGAGGAATTCCACACCGCAAGGAAAAGCCTATCTTTGCATAAGACTGGAGACTAAGAACCATGGTGGGAGGGAGAAAAAAAAGGTCTGTCTGCATGTCTTCTCATCGCAAAAGGGCGTTTGTTTGTCTCCTCAACGACAAAAATCTGTCTCATCGAAAAAATATATGTCTGTCTGTCTCCCAATCGGAAAAAAACGTTCTCTCTCTGTCTCTCCCACAGAAAGAAAAAAAAAACTTCTCTCTCTCTTTCTCTATCTCTTTCGTCTCCTAATCGATCCTGCGGCTTTATAGGATTGGCGGGAGGAACGTTCCGGAATCGTCGAGGGAATTCTCCGTGGAGGTGCCGTCCTGGTTGCCGTTGGAGGAGGCGGCGGCGGGGTTCGAGTTGGTGGCCGACGAACTGCTGTCGTTCTTGGCGCCGGACTCAGCCGCGAGGGCGCAGTTGTCGCGGTGCCGCTTGCCTTTGTATACCTGCGGAAGGGGGCGGGGCTTAGCGTTACGGGTTATTTCTTTAAGATTTGTTTTTTTTTTAAGGAGTTATGCTAAGGGAAGATATGGCGGGATATAACCGAGCCGCTACAGGACCCATGGCCGTATGCTTAAAGAAACTGCATCGCAAATCAGTTTTTAACACAATTTCTATGCTATTCCCTTCGTTGTTCCTGTTGCAAATGTTAGAATCTTCGCGATTGTAGAAAGTGTTAACAATTCTAGGACTGTCAGTTTCAATAATACAATGTTCTTATTTTTATGTTCTTATTATGTTCTTATGTTCCTTAGTTGATTGTGTGCTTTAAAAAGAGGATTCCACAATTTCTTAAGCATACGACCCTCAGTTTTACACGAGAACTTTAAATTTAAGCTCGTTTTATTAACCCTAGTGTTGAAGTTAAAGTTAAATATAAATTATAATGGCGTGATACACTTAAGTATATATATGATAAAGAATATGTAATTTCTGGTTAATGAATATGAATATTTTCGTAATTATTTCCCATGTAGCTAAAATAAGGAAGTTTCAAAATTCAGTAAAAAGGAAAATGTGCTTTCTGTAATAATTTATGACTTGTTGATAAAATATATTTTGTTACCCATGTTCTACTTTCTTACTTGTTTTCATTAACTTCAATTTAGATTTTAAAAAACGTAAATTCTCTAAACAGACCTTTCCACCTATTACAAAGAGGGAGCATAACCCTCTCCCTCACTCAAAAAAAAATCAGAAACAAAGAGCAAAACACAAAAAAGAAAAAAAAAGAAACAATAAAAGCAAGAACAAAAGAAAAAAGAAAAAAAGAAAAAAAAAAGAAAAAAAAGAAAAACAAGAAGAAAAAAGAAGAAAAACAAGAAGAAAAAAAGAAAAAAAAAAAAAAAAACAAAAAAAAAACCCTTATCCCCTTACCGTATAAAGACTAAAATTCTCATCCTCGGTCGAGTCCTGCGTGATGGGTCCCTGGCGGCGGACGTTCGCCACCGGACCTCCGTTCACGGCGCCTCCTCTCTTCTCCGCCCCTCCTCCTCCTCCTGCCGTGGTGGAGAGGGACGAGGAGGACGAAGAAGACGCGTTCGAGGTGGTTGGGTGGAGCCACTCGTGCTGCAGCGCCTCCTCAGGGGTCATTCTGCTCGACGGGTCCCATCTGCGGGGGAGGGAGGGCGTGAGGGAGGGCAGAATCTCGTTTGTTTTATATCTATCTATCTATCTATCTATCTATCTATCTATCTATCTATCTATCTATCTGTCTGTTATCTATATCTATCTATCTATCTATCTATCTATCTATCTAGACATACAGACATATATACTTACAGACATATATATTACACAGACATATATAATACTTTACATACATATATATATACATATACATACATACATATATACATATAATAAAAAATCATAAACTATCTATTATCCTCTATCTCCTATTGACCTATCCACCCACGAACGAGAGAGGCGACTCACTCAAGACAGCGAGATATGAAGTGGACGAAATTCAAATCGGAGCACTTTAGGACGGAGGCCAAGTCACGTGACCCTGGGCGGCGCTTCTTGCCTTTGCTGTTCGTCACACATCGGGGATTCCCCTTGGAGTCTGCGAGGGGGAAAGAGGAGAGGGTTTTTATCGTCTCTTATCTTTGCAATCGGTGAGCGTCGTTGGGTGATGCGCGTGTGGCGTGTTGCGTCATGATGTGGGGAGAGTGACTGTAGTTGTAATATGTTGTTTGTTGTGGTTGTGTTCTTTTAATATGGTAATATGTTGTTTGTTTTGGTTGTGTTCTTTTAATATGGTGTGGACTGGCGGTACATTTTCAACGATGGATTGCATATGCATGTCCTAAAATTGTTTAATGATAGTTTATAATCAATTACGGGCTTTGCAATGTGCAATAACATTGTTCAGTGATAAAAAAATGAAAAAATCAATGAACTGACTAGAAAGAATAGATAGGATAGCGATAGATAGATAGATAGATAGAGATAGAGAGAGAGAGAGAGAGAGAGAGAAGAGAGAGAGAGAGAGAGAGAGAGAGAGAGAGAAAGAGAGAGAGTGTGAGACAGTGAGTGAGCGTGTGCGTGTGCGTGTGCTGTGTGCGTTGTGCGTGTGTCGCGTGAGTGTATGCGCGTACGTACTTGCATATCTGTTTACATATAATATGAATGTGCGACCCTGAACATACAACCACACACCTGCGTTGCAAATTTCCAATAAGATGCATAAACATAAATGATAAAAAAAAAAGAAAATACCAGCACAAAAGAAGAAAACAAGGGGGCTGGCGCTTTGAAGAGCTCTCTCTGTCTTAAACAATTTCAACCTCCATCCTTAATGAAGCTCATTACGAATTAAAAGAAAACAACAAAGAAGTGTCGTTAATGATTTCAAAACCAACCCCCTCACCCCACCCCACCCCCACCCCACCCCCCCCCCACCCCCAATCCACGCCATACGCTGAAACCCAACGAAGCAAACGTTATTCATTTTTCAAGATAAATCATTTTTTCTTTTTTTTTTTCTTCTTTTGATCGATTCTTGCAACTGGTGCGGGTTTTGTTGTATGGGATGGATGCGTGGGATAAGGAAGAGAAAGAGGCAGAGAAAGAAAGAGGGAAAGACGGAGGGAGACGGAGAGGAGAGAGGGAGAGAGAGAGGGCAGGGAAAGGGAGGGGGAGAGGGAGGGAGGGAGAGAGAGAGGGGAGGGAAAGGGGAGAGAGGAAAAGGTAAAGAAAGTAAAGAGAGAGAAAGAAAGAGAGAGAGAGGAGAGAGAGAGAGAGAGAGAGAGAGAGAGAGAGAGAGAGAGAGAGAGAGAGAGAGAGAGAGAGAGAGAGAGAGAGAGAGAGAGAGAATAAAAAAGAGAAGAGAGACGAGAAGAGAAAAGAAAGAAGAAGAGAGAGAAAAGAGAAGAAAAAGAAAAAAAAGAAGAGGAAGAAGATAAGAAAAAGACAGACAAAGAAGAGACAGACAGAACCCGAACAAGAACCAGAAAAAGAAAGAAAGACCCATCCAAGATAAGAAACGCCAGCTCAACCCACCAGCCCACCCACCACACCCACGGCCACCCACACCCACCACCCCACCACCCACCACCGAGCCCAGCCCCCACCCGACCCACCACACACCCCACCTAAACCCACCCAACCCACCGACCCAACCCACCCGGGCCACCCCACCCGGCGCCACCCCCACCCAAACCCCAGCAAGAAGTGGCGTGGAGGCGGCGATGAGCAGGTGGTGGGGCGGCAGTGACAGCACCTCCATGATGCAAGCCAGCTGTTCCACCTCGTTCTCACCGGGGAACAGCGGGTATCCCGTGTACAGCTCGGCCAGGATGCACCCTGAGGGAATAGGGGGAGGACGTGAGTGGAGGAAGGACAGTGTGGATATCGTTATTACTTTTTTGTACACTGTCAATATGATTCTTTGTATTTTTTTGTACGTTGTGGATATCGTTATTACTTTTTTGTACACTGTCAATATGATTATTTGTATTTTTTTTGTGAATATTAATACTTTCTTTGCACACTGAATAATTATTAGTATTTTTTTGTACGTTGTGGATATCATTATTACTTTTTTGTACATTGTCAATATAATTATTAGTACGTTCTAGATATCGTTAGTATTTTTTGCACACTATATAATTATTAGTATTTTCTTTTGTATATTGTGATTATCTTTATTACTTTTTTTTGCACATGGTTAATATGATTATTTGTATTTTTTTGTACATTGTGGATATCGTTATTACTTTTTTTGCACATTGTCAATATAATTATTATTAGGATTTTCTTTTGTATATTGTGATTATCTTTATTACTTTTTTTTGCATTGTCAATATAATTATTAGTATTTTCTTTTGTACATTTGTGGATATCATTATTACTTTTTTGTACACTGTCAATATGATAATTTGTATTTTTTTGTGAATATTAATACTTTCTTTGCACACTGAATAATTATTAGTATTTTTTTGTACATTGTGGATATCATTATTACTTTTTTTGCACGTTGTCAATATAATTATTAGTATTTTTTTGTACATTGTGGATATCATTATTACTTTTTTTGCACATTGTCAATATATACATACATATGTATGTATGTGAAAATGTATATATATACATACATATATTTATATATACATGTGCATATACATACATATATTTATATATACATGTGCATATATACATATATATGTGAGTGTGTCAAAGGACAAAATTGCCCACAAACATTTCCCCCCCAGCGATCGCTAGCACAATTAACGCTCATAAAAACATCAATACTAATCTGCATTTCGCTAATGGCAATTAATGCGGAAAACCGACACTAATCAATGACAAACCACGCCTCGAAATAGACACAAATTGACGAAAAGGAAAAAAAAAAATATTATCCCTGCAATGAAGATGACGTCATGGTAAGCGATGGTGATTTATTTGTCAGTTATTATCTTGATTTATTTATTTTTTTTATCAGTGTTATCTAGCTGTGCAAATGTCTGAGCGTGTCTGATGATAAAGATAAGAAAGTAAACGAGTCACAATATACAATTAATTGGAAATTACATTAGAATACAGGGAAACAAATATACCCAATACACAAAACAAGGGACACACACACACACACACACACGCACAACAACACAACACACACACACACACACAGACACCACACACACACACACACACTACCACACACCACACACACACACACACACACACAGACACACACACACACACACACACACCACACACACACACAACACACACAAAAAAAAAAAAAAAA